CCTGACATTTGGGGGATATCTGTACTGTCCTGACATTTGGGGGATATCTGTACCGTCCTGACATTTGGGGGATATCTGTACCGTCCTGACATTTGGAGGATATCTGTACTGTTCTGACATTTGGGGGATATCTGTACCGTCCTGACATTTGGGGGATATCTGTACCGTTCTGACATTTGGGGGATATCTGTACCGTTCTGACATTTGGGGGATATCTGTACAGTTCTGACATTTGGGGGATATCTGTACAGTCCTGACATTTGGGGGATATCTGTACCGTCCTGACATTTGGGGGATATCTGTACCGTTCTGACATTTGGGGGATATCTGTACCGTTCTGACATTTGGGGGATATCTGTACTGTTTTGCCATTTGGGGGATATCTGTACTGTCCTGACATTTGGAGGATATCTATCCTGTTCTGACATTTGGAGGATATCTGTCCTGTCCTGACATTTGGGGGACATCTGTACTGTGCTGACATTTGGGGGACATCTGTACTGTGCTGACATTTGGGGGACATTTGTACTGTCCTGACATTTGGGGGATTTCTGTACTGTTCTGACATTCTTGGACCTCAAGAAATTAGATTGGTCGTCAGTACTTCAGGACTGATCAATTTTCAGATCTATCCCATAGTTTGTGAACTTTCCTGCAGACTAAATAATACATCCTAATTTGGGTTATTTTCTCCAAAGACATGTAGCAGAATACATCTCGGACTAAATTTATGAAGAGTAATTATTTATTTGCAAACTTTTATAACAGAAACAAAGAAAAACGTGGGGGGTTTTTTTTCAAAATTTTCGGTCTTTTTTTTTTGTTAATTTAGCAAAAAATAAAAACCCCAGCGGTGATTAAATACCACCAAAAGAAAGCTCTAGTTGTGTGAAGAAAATGATAAAATGTTGCATGACCGCTAAATTGTCATTCAAAGCGTGAGAGCGCTGAAACCTGAAAATTGGCCTGGACAGGAAGGGGGGGGGGGGGGGGGGAGTGCCTGGTATGGAAGTGGTTATTGTAATTACCGGCTTTTTTTTTTTTTCCTTCACTATAGCTCAGAGAATCAGCTGCCACTTTCCCCCCCAGCTAAAAGATACAAAGTTTCCTTGTAGTATATTTACCCGAGTTAAAAGAAATAATGTTTCCTTTTAGTTTATTAAAATAAACAAAGTATCCTTTAGCTCCGGGGAAAGTGACAGCTAATTCTGGGAGCTATAGTGAAGAAAAAAAAAAAGCAATGGCATTTAAAAATCGGCACCGACATACACTTCGTATTGCAAAAAAAAATCTGTAAAAGATTTGTAAACCGAAGCGTTATTTTCAATGGATTTTCTTTCATAAACCGAAAATTTACATCAACTGAGGCGTTCATAAACCGAGATACACCTGTATGTATAATGTAACCTGCTCTGAATTGGTATCAGTCCTTGTACAGAAGAGCTCAGACTGAAGGAGGGAGAAGCAGCACAAGGAGCCAGTCAGTTGTACTACAGGAGCATGCTGATAGGTGGAGAATGCAGAGTGACAGAGAGAAGATCTCATCAGTCTCATCAGTCTGCTGCTTTTCCTTTCATCGTGCAGTCATTGGCTTCCCCGGGAAAAGTATTCATTTCAGCCTTTCTGCAAATTTTCTGTGGAATGTATCAAGAGTATAACTAAGCCTTACGGCATAGGAAACACATCAGCTGAAAACTGGGCAGTTATAATAAGACACAAATGAAAACTTCCCTGTGCTAACAGGAAGCATGCTGATAGGAGGAGAGAGCAGTGCAGCAGAGATTCTGCCGCTTCTCCTTTCACTGTCCAGTCAAAGGCGGGGGGGGGGGGGGGGGGTTCATGACAGTGAGTGCTTATAGGAAGTGATTTGAATGTTACTGGCCAAGAGGAGAGGAGGGATAAGCAGCTAAAGGAGCATTCTGATAGAAGGAGAGAACTGTGCAGTAGAGATTCTGCTGCATCTCCTTTCACTGTCCAGTCATAGGCTGGGGGATGGGGTTCCATGACAGCGAGCGCTTATAGGAAGTGGTTTGAATGTTACTGGCCAAGAGAAGAGGAGGGAGAAGCAGCTCAAGGAGCATGCTGATAGGAGGGAGAGAGAGTGACAGAGAGATGAGCTTAACAGTGTGCTGCTTCTCCTTTTACTGTCCAGTCACAGGCTGGGGGGGAGATCCATAACACTGAATGCTTATAGGAAGTGCTATGAATGATGCTGGCCATGAGAAGTGGAAGAAGAAGCAGCTCAAGGAGAATAATGATAGTAGGATACAGCACGTTGACAGCGAGATGAGCTCATCAGTCTGCTGCTTCTTTTTTCACTGTCCATTCACAGGCTGGGGGGAAGTTCCACGAAGGCCTTGGTTTTAATGATGCTGGCCAGAAGAAGCAGCTCAAGGGGCAAGCTGATAGGAGGAGCGAGAGCAGAGTGACAATAGATGAGTTCAACAGTATGCTGCTTCTTCTTTCACTGTCCATTCACAGGCTGGTGGGAAGGTCCATGACAGTCTGTGCTTATAGGAAGTGGTATGAATGATGCTGACCAAGAAACGTGTAGGGAGAAGCAGCCCAAGGAGCATGCTCATAGGAGAAGAGAGTAGAGTGACAGAGGGATGAGCTCATCAGTGTGCTGCTTCTCCTTTCACTGTACAGGTCCATAACATCCTGTGCTTATAGGAAGTGGTTTGAATGCTGCTGGCCAGGAGGAGCAGCTCAAAGAAGAATGCTGGTAGGAGGGGAGAGGAAGTAAGTGGTTTCAATGGTACTGACCAAGAGATAAGGAATGAGAAACAGCTCAAGGAGAATGCTGATAGGAGGAGAGAGCAGAGTGACAGAGAGATTAGCTCATCAGGCTGCTGCTTTTCCTTTCGCTGTCCAGTCATAGACTGGTGGCAGGTCCATTAGGGTCATAGACTGTCGGAAGATCCATGACAGCGAGTGCTTATAGGAAGTGGTTTGAATGATGTTAGCCAAGAGAAAGGGAGGGAGAAATGCTGATAAGAGGAGAGAGTAGAGCAGGGGCGGTCTGACAACTCATAGGGCCCCCGGGCAATAGGGGATCATGGGGCTCCTGTGTCCTTGCCCAAACTCAAAAAAGCCTATGAAAAAAGTACCAGGGGCATCTCATGGGGCCCCCTACTGACCCCGGGCCCTCGGGCAGTGCCCGAGTTTACAAATGGTCAGTCCGCCCCTGGAGTAGAGTGACAGAGGGATAAGCTCATCAGGCTGCTGCTTTTCCTTTCGCTGTGCAGTCACAGGCTGGGGGCAGGTCCATGACAGCCTGTGGCTATAGGAATTGATTTGAAAGATGCAGCTCAAGGATCATGCAGACAGGAGCAGAGTAGAGTGACAGAGAGTATAGCTCATCAGGCTGCTGCTTCTCCTTTCACTGTCCCATCACAGGCTGTGGGAGGGACAGGACCTATACGTGTTACAGAGCAAAAACAGGACTCCTGTCCTGCCAGTGCTGTGTGGCAGAGCTGTGTATATTTCAGGACTGGATGGACAGAAATGCAAATCCTTTGAAAAATAAAACAGCTCTCAGCGATGCGTTTCACCTGTGATTTCAGCTGAGTTCCTGGAACTCAGTTAGATCACATTTTTTATATATAGCTTGAAAAAAAAACCTGTAAAAAGCCTATATTTACTCTTTATAATGTAGAGGCGCTGCGCGGCAGAACTGCTTTACACCTAAAAATATCCACCGGCTCGGCCTTGGTGTGAAAATGCAGAGCAGCTTAGGTGAGTAAAAGCCGCCCATTCAACCTTCAGCTGTGGGAAATGTGATCATTCATTTTCAGGAGGAAGCCGCGCGCGCGGCGTAATTAGCGAGAATGCTACAGTCAAAGAAAATCCAGGTGTTCTCAGGGACAGCAAATTGTATAAAAGTTGTGATTTTCAAGGCTTCTGGTTGACTCATAATTAAAACAAGAAAATGGCAGCGAATGCAACGTAGATGTCTGCAGGGAAGGATCGGAAAATAAACGAACAAAAGTCACACTTCACGTGAGCCCAGGTTTGAAAATGCCTCTTTGCCCTCCTGAGGATTCCCCCCCCCCCCCCTTCCTGACCAGGCCAATTTTTGCGATACGGCGCTGCGTTACTTTAACCGACAATTGCGCGGTCATGCAACGGTGCACCCAAATGAAATTTACGTCCCTTTTTTTCCCCACAAATCTTTCAGTGGTATTTGATCGCCTCTGCGGTTTTTTTATTTTTTGCGCTCTAACCGAAAAAAGCCCGACAATTTTGAAAAAAAAAATATTTTTGACTTTTTGCTATTAAATATGTTCAGTGAAAAAAAATTTAAAATCAAAATTCTTCATAAATTTAGGCCAAAATGTATTCCGCTCCGTGTCTTTGTTGAAAAAAAAATCCCAATACGTGTAAATTAAGTGGTTTACGTGAAAGTTATAGCGTCTACAAATGGCGGGATAGATACTGGGATTTTTTTTTTTTAAGTATTGGCGGCGATCAGCGACTTATAGTGGGACTGCGGCGGGCATTCTGACACTGGGGGGGGAACTGACTTGGTGTCACTGACATCCCCAGTGACACCAATAGAGTGGTCAGTAATAATAAAAAGCACTGACACTGTACTAATGGCACTGGGCAGGAAGGGGTTAACATCTGGGGCGATCAAAGGGTTAACTGTGTGCTGTGTGTGTTTTACTAGGGAGACATGCTGTGCAGAGAAATACAAAGCAGCATGTCCTTGCTGGGGGAGAGATCTGTGTTGTTTACAGACAGGTCTCTCCCCTGTCAGTGATACTCGGCGATCACCGGGTACCAGTGGGGAATCTCCGGCCAGGACCCGGTGATCGGCATCCAATGGTGGCGTGGGTAGGGCGGGGTGCTTGCGCGCCCCCTACCCAGAAATGCAGAATCATGTATATATATGTCGCGCTGACAGCTTGTGAGGAGAGGAGAGCCGGTAATCGGCATTTCTCAGAGGGGACATGTACACTGATCATCGGGGCAATGATCAGTGTGCCCTGATGATCAGTGTAGCCCCAGCAGTGCCACCTGTCAGTGCCCATCAATGCCACCTGTCAGTGCCCATCAGTGCCACATCAATGCCACATATCAGTCCCCAGCTGCCTTTCAGTGCCACCTATCAGTGCCAGTCAGTGTCACCTATCAATGCCAGTCAGTGCTGCCAATCAGTGCCACCTATCAGTGCCCGTCAATGCCGCCTATCAGTGCCGCCTAACAGTGCCAGTCAGTGCCACCTAACAGTGCCAGTCAGTGCCGCCTATCAGTGCCAGTCAGTGCCACCTATAAGTGCCGCCTATCAGTGCCATATATTAGTGCTGCCTTTCAGTGCCCACCAGTGATGCCTGTCAATGCCCATCAGTGCCACCTACCAGTGCCTCCTCATCAATGCCCATCAGTGCGGCCTATCAGTGCCCATCAGTGCAGCCTATCAGTGCCCATCAGTGCAGCCTATCAGTGCCCATCAGTGCCACCTACCAGTGCCTCCTCATCAGTGCCCATCGGTGCCCATCAGTGCAGCCTCATTAGCACACATCAGTGAAGGAGAAAAATCACTTATTTACAAAATTTTATAACAGGAACTAAGAAAAAACTTTTTTTTTCCAAATTTTCAGTTGTTTTAGGTTTGTTTAGCAAAAAAAAAAAAAGAAAACTCTACCTGTCTCAAAAAAATGCTAAAAACGTAATTTGGGTACAGTGTTGCATGACCGCGCAATTGTCATGGGGGGGGGGGGGGGGGGGGGGCGGGGGGGGGGGGGGGGGGGGGGGGGGGGGGGGGGGGGGGGGGGGGGGGGGGGGTCGAAGAGTGACAGCTCTGAAAGTTGAAAATTGGTCTGGGCAGGAAGGGGGTATAAGTGCTTGGTGGGCGAGGGGTTAATGAAGCAGTTAGGATTCTGTAGTAGGGAAATTTGTAGGGGGGCCTCTGAATTGGGGGGAAGTGATTTGGAAAGAATTTTAGAATAGGTCATTTTTGGTTGAAATTTGGCCTGTGAGATATGCATATCTGAACCCTGCACTCAGTGCATAGCACACTCCTGTACCCCGCACTCTGTGCATAGAACACTCCTGAACCTTGCACTCTGTGCATAGAACACTCCTGAACCTTGCACTCTGTGCATAGAACACTCCTGAACCTTGCACTCTGTGCATAGCACACTCCTGAACCTTGCACTCTGTGCATAGAACACTCCTGAACCTTGCACTCTGTGCATAGCACACTCCTGTACCCCGCACTCTGTGCATAGCACACTCCTGTACCCTGCACTCTGTGCATAGCACACTCCTGTACCCCGCACTCTGTGCATAGCACACTCCTGTACCCTGCACTCTGTGCATAGCACACTCCTGAACCTTGCACTCTGTGCATAGAACACTCCTGAACCTTGCACTCTGTGCATAGCACACTCCTGAACCTTGCACTCTGTGCATAGCACACTCCGGAACCCTGCACTCTGTGCATAGCACACTCCTGAACCCTGCACTCTGTGCATAGCACACTCCTGTACCCCGCACTCTGTGCATAGCACACTCCTGTACCCCGCACTCTGTGCATAGCACACTCCTGTACCCCGCACTCTGTGCATAGCACACTCCTGAACCTTGCACTCTGTGCATAGCACACTCCTGAACCTTGCACTCTGTGCATAGAACACTCCTGTACCCCGCACCCTGTGCATAGCACACTCCTGAACATTGCACTCTGTGCATAGCACACTCCGGAACCCTGCACTCTGTGCATAGCACACTCCTGAACCTTGCACTCTGTGCATAGAACACTCCTGTACCCCGCACCCTGTGCATAGCACACTCCTAAACACTGCACTCTGTGCATAGAACACTCCTGTAACCCGCACTCTGTGCATAGCACACTCCTAAACCCTGCACTCTGTGCATAGAACACTCCTGTAACCCGCACTCTGCGCATTGCACACTCCTAAACCCTGCACTCTGTGCATAACACACTCCTAAACCCTGCACTCTGTGCATAGAACACTCCTGTAACCCGCACTCTGTGCATAGCACACTCCTAAACCCTGCACTCTGTGCATAGAACACTCCTGTAACCCGCACTCTGTGCATTGCACACTCCTAAACCCTGCACTCTGTGCATAGAACACTCCTGTAACCCGCACTCTGCGCATTGCACACTCCTGATGCCTGCACTCTGTGCATAGCACACTCCTAAACCCTGCACTCTGTGCATAGAACACTCCTGTACCCCGCACTCTGTGCATAGCACACTTCTGATGCCCGCACTCTGTGCATAGCACATTCCTGAACCTTGCACTCTGTGCATAGAACACTCCTGTACCCTGCACTCTGTGCATAGCACACTCCTGAAGCCTGCACTCTGGACATAGCACACTCCAAAACCCTGCACTCTGCATAGCAAACTCCTGAACCCTGCACTCTGTGTGTTACAATGCCCCTTTCAGACCCCCCAAATTCGCGACACCCACCCTATGACACGGCACGCACAATGCGCCTCATAGCTATCCAAACCCCCCCCCCCCCAGATTGGGGTTCCTGCACCTATTCGCTGACAAAAAATAAGTCCTGTATTGCACGTCGTCTGCATGCAGATTATCTTTTTTCCCTTTGCTGACTTACCATATCTTCTTCCACACTGTCTCTGTGTGGAGGCGGCCATCATGGTAGAGGCGGGGCTTTGCTTCCTCATGTCAGAGCCTCCAGCAAGGAGAACAATGAGCAGCACAGTAATGACATCACTTTCATGCCGAATCTTTTGGGGCCAACAGTCAGGGGAAGCAGTGCCATAGATCCTACGCTGCAGATATACAGCTATGTAGCTACAGAACAGGCATACCCAGGCACAGGTACAGTGGGGATGGAAAGTTTGGGCACCCCAGCTAAAAATTTGTATTAATGTGCATAAAGAAGCCAAGGAAAGATGGAAAAATCTCCAAAAGGCATCAAATTACAGATTAAACATTCTTATAATATGTCAACAAAAGTTAGATTTTATTTCCATCATTTACACTTTCAAAATAACAGAAAACAAAAAAATGGCGTCTGCAAAAGTTTGGGCCCCCTGCAGAGTTCATATCTTGTACTGCCCCCTTTGGCAAGTATCACAGCTTGTAAACGCTTTTTGTAGCCAGCCAAGAGTCTTTCAATTCTTGTTTGAGGTATCTTTGCCCATTCTTCCTTACAAAAGTCTTCCAGTTCTTTGAGATTTCTGGGCTGTCTGTCACGCACGGCTCTTTTAAGGTCTATCCATAGATTTTCAATGATGTTGAGGTCAGGAGATTGTGAAGGCCATGGCAAAACCTTCAGTTTTTACGCCTCTTGATGTAATCCCCCGTGGATTTCGAGGTGTGTTTAGGATCATTATCCATTTGTAGAAGCCATCCTCTCTTTAACTTCAGCTTTTTCACAGATGGCATCAAGTTACCATCCAAAATTTGCTGAAATTTTATTGAATCCATTTTTCCTTCTACTCGTGAGATGTTCCCTGTGCCACTGGCTGCAACACAACCCCAAAGCATGATTGATCCAACCCCATGCTTAACAGTTGGACAGAGGTTCTTTTCATTAAATTCTGTGCCCCTTCTTCTCCAAACGTACCTTTGCTCATTCCGGCCAAAAAGTTCAATTTTAACCTCATCGGTCCACAGAACTTGTTTCCAAAATGCATCAGGCTTGTCTATATGTTCATTTGCAAAGTTCAAACGATGATTTTTGTGGTGAGGACGTAGAAGAGGTTTTCTTCTGATGACTCTTCCATGAAGACCATATTTGTACAAGTATCTCTTTATAGTGGAATAGTGACCACAACTCCAGTGTCTGCCAGATCTTTCTGGAGGGATCGTGCAGTCAAACGTGGGTTTTGAATTGTTTTTCTCACAATCCTGCAAGCTGTTCTGTCTGATATTTTTCTTGGTCTTCCAGATCTTGCTTTAACTTCCACTGTTCCTGATGACTGCCATTTCTTAATTACATTCCGAACAGAGGATATTGACATCTGAAAACGCTTTGCTATCTTCTTATAGCCTTCTCCAGCTTTGTGAGCGTCAACTATTTTCAGTTTCAGTTTTCTAGACAACTGCTTAGAAGAACCCATGGTGCTGATTGTTGGGGCAAGGTCAGATGAGTCTGGGCATTTAAAACCTTTGAGAGTGACATCACCTGGTCTTCCCAGACGATGATTGAGAACAATCCATGACACTGGCAGGTCTCAGCAAAGGGGGCAGCGCATGCTATAAATTCTGCAGGGTGCCAAACTTTTGCAGACGCCATTTTTTTGCTTTCTGTTATTTTGAAAGTGTAAATGATGGAAATAAAATCTAACTTTTGTTGACATATTATAAGAATGTCTAATCTGTAATTTGATGCCTTTTGGAGATTTTTCCATCTTTCCTTGGCTTCTTTATGCACATTAACACAAATTTTTAGCTGGGGTGCCCAAACTTTCGATCCCCACTGTAGCTACAGAACAGGAGTACCTAGGTACAGGTAAGGCTTCTCTTCCTCATGTCAGAACCACCAGCAGGGAGAACATTGAAGAGAACAGTAGTAACCTCACCAAATCTCACTCCAAATCTCCAGAAATTGGCAGTCAGGAGCAGCAGTGCCTTCAATCTCACACTGCAGATACACAATTATGAGGCTACAGAACAAGAATACCCAGACACGGGTAAGCTTTCTCTTTCTCATGTCAGAACCTTCAGCAAGCAGAACAGTGAAGAGCACAGTAGTGCCCTCACCAAACCTTGCTCTAAATCCCCAGAGATTGGCAGTCAGTGGTAGCAGTGCCTTGGATCTCACACTGCAGATATACAGCTATGAAGCTACAGAACAGGGGTGCCTAGGCACAGGTAAGGCTTCTCTTCCTCATGTCAGAATCTCCAGCAAGGAGAACATTGTAGAGGACAGTAGTAACCTCACCAAACCTCATTCCAAATCCCCTGAAATTGGCAGTCAGAGGAAGCAGTGCCACAGATCCTACGCTGCAGATTTACAGCTATGAGGCTACACAACAGGACTACCTAGGCACAGGTAAGGCTTCTCTTCCTCCCGTCAGAACCACCATCAGAGAGAACATTGAAGAGAACAGTAGTGACCTCACCAAATCTCAATCCAAATTTCCTGAAATTGGCAGTCAGGGGCAGCAGTTCCTTGGCTCTCGCACTGCAGATATACAGCTATGAGGCTACAGAACAAGAATACCTAGGCATAGGTAAAGTTTCTCTTCCTCATGTCAGAACCTCCAGCAAGGAGAACAGTGAAGAGCACAGTAGTGACCTCATCAAATCTTGCCCCAAATCCACTGAGATTGGCAGTCAGGGGCATCAGTGCCTTCAATCTCACACTGCAGATATACAGCTATGAAGCTACAGAACAGGGGTGCCTATGCACAGGTAAGGCTTCTCTTCCTCATGTCAGAACCTCCAGCAAGGAGAACAGTGAAGAGCACAGTAGTGACCTCACCAAACCTCATTTCAAATCCACTGAGATTGGCAGTCAGGGGCAGCAGTGCCTTGGATCTCACATTGCAGATATACAGCTATGAAGCTACAGAACAGGAGTGCCTAGGTACAGGTAAGGCTTCTCTTCCTCATGTCAGAGCCTCCAGCAAGGAGAACATTGAAGAGCACAGTAGTGACCTCACCAGCTCTCACTCCAACTCTCCTGAAATTGGCAGTCAGGGGCAGCAGTGCCTTGGATCTCACACTGCAGATATACAGCTATGAGGCTACAGAAGAAGAGTGCCTATGCACACGAAGAGAACTGCGATTTTCAGGAGAAATTAAAGACAAATGATAAATCTTTCAGAGTACTGCTTAGGCACAAATAACAATTCTAAATGATCCCTATAACATAACAAATCTTCTCTTTTTTTAGTTTAGTTCCACTTTACGGGAAGAGAAGTGTAATCCTAAGGCAGCTGAAAACAATACTAGAAGGTCGGATATAGTAATTAATTTCTTGGGAATGACTGCAATGAGTCTCTTGGAGCCGGCGCGGTGTTGGGAATCGATGTTACCGGCCAGGAGTCTTCTCTGTAGCGCCTCACCCTGGACACAGCGAGGACAGTCACTCCTGGTTTTAAGTGATACTTCTGTGGATTTCCTATCCGCCTGTAGGGGTTGTTCTGCAGCACCCATCTGTGAGGATTTCACTCTGTAATAGTAGCCTGGAGCAAGGAAAGAGGAGTTGTCACCACAGACATCTCATCCTTGGGCTGTCATCTAAAAGTACCTGGGGCTGGAGGCGCTAAATCAGGCCTGAGCCAACTGAGTATTACCTGAATTCTATTATCCGGAAATCCCTTACCCACTATGTACTGAAGAAATGAATAAAAGATTTGATCTGCTGTAAAAACGTCATCTATACAAAGAGACCCATAAAGCATTTCTCACTTCTTCAAAGCTCTGCTAAAAGAAAAATTAAGGAGGAACTCTACTAAGAATAATGTGAAACCAGTCATTAGCTCGTATCATTTTAATTTGATGGCATTAAGGAAGGAAATCTAAGTACATGGACATGTTTGCAGACTGTGGAGCCTAGAGGCACCAAGGGAGGGATGGCAGATACATTGGAAGTCACTGGGAAGAATGTTCCTTATATTGGTGGTCACTGGGAAGAATGTTCATTACATTGGGGGATAATGGGAAGAATGTCCCTTACATTGGGGGTCAGTGGGAAGAATGCCCCTTACATTGGTGATCAGTGGGAAGAATGTCCCTTACATTGGTGGTCAGTGGGAAGAATGTCCCTTACATTGGGGGTCAGTGGGAAGAATGTCCCTTACATTGGTGGTCAGTGGGAAGAATGTCCCTTACATTGGGGGTCAGTGGGAAGAATGTCCCTTACATTGGGGGTCAGTGGGAATAATGTACCTTACATTGGTGGTCATTGGGAAGAATGTCCCTTACATTGGTGGTCATTGGGAAGAATGTCCCTTACATTGGGGGAATAATGGGAAGAATGCTCCTTACAGTGATGGTCAGTGGGAAGAATGTCACTTACTTTTGGGTCAGGGTGAAGAATGTTCCTTACATTGGTGATCAGTGGAAAGAATGCTCCTTTCATTGGTGGTCAGTGGGAAGAATGTCCCTTACATTGGGGGTCAGTGGGAAGAATGTCCCTTACATTGGGGGTCAGTGGGAAGAATTCTCCTTACATTGGTGGTCAGTGGGAAGAATGTCCCTTACATTGGGGGTCAGTGGGAAGAATGTTCCTTACATTGGTGGTCAGTGGGAAGAATGCACCTTACATTGGGGGTCAGTGGGAAGAATGTCCCTTACATTGGTGGTCAGTGGGAAGAATGCTCCTTACATTGGTGGTCAGTGGGAAGAATGTCCCTTACATTGGTGGTCAGTGGGAAGAATGTCCCTTACATTGGGGTCAGTGGGAATAATACTCCTTACATCGATGGTCAGTGGGAAGAATGCTCCTTTCTTTGGTGGTCAGTGGGAAGAATGTCCCTTACATTGGTGGTCAGTGGGAAGAATGTCCCTTACATTGGGGGTCAGTGGGAAGAATGTCCCTTACATTGGTGATCAGTGGGAAGAATGTTCCTTACATTAGTGGTTATTAGGAAGAATGATGCTTACATTTTGGGTCTTTAGGAAGAATGTCCCTTACATTGGTGGTTATTGGGAAGAATGCCCCTTATATTGGTGGTTAGTGGGGAGAATCCCCCTTAAATTGGGGGTCAGTGAGAAGAATGCCCCTATATTGGTGGTTATTGGGAAGAATGCCCCTTATATTGGTGGTCAGTGGGGAGAATGCCCCTTATATTGGTGGTCAGTGGGGAGAATGTCCCTTATATTGGTGGTCAGTGGGGAGAATGTCCCTTACATTGGTGATCAATGGGGAGAATGTCCCTTATATTGGTGGTCAGTGAGAAGAATGCCCCTTATATTGGTGGTTATTGGGAAGAATGCCCCTTACATTGGTGGTTATTGGGAAGAATGATGCTTACATTTTGGGTCTTTAGGAAGAATGTCCCTTACATTGGTGGTTATTGGGAAGAATGCCCCTTATATTGGTGGTTATTGGGAAGAATGCCCTTTATATTTGTGGTCAGTGGGGAGAATCCCCCTTAAATTGGGGGTCAGTGAGAAGAATGCCCCTTATATTGGTGGTTATTGGGAAGAATGCCCCTTATATTGGTGGTCAGTGGGGAGAATGTCCCTTATATTGGTGGTCAGTGAGAAGAATGCCCCTTATATTGGTGGTTATTGGGAAGAATGTTCCGTACGTTGTGAGCCTTTAGGAAGAATGTTCCTTACATTGGTGGTCACTAGAAAGAATGGTTGGATACATCGGTGCTCAGTGAGATGAATTCCCTGTTATATTGGGAGTCATTTGGGAACTCTTAGCACATGAAAATTCTTTGGAGGCTTAGTCATGCGGCAGAGCAGTGCAAAGATTCCTGAGGATGGACAAACAATGTGGCACCATGAGTGAGAAAATGCACAGCTTTAAAGAACGTCAAAGTCATCAGGACAGCAGGCAATAGGAGAGACTCCCAGCCTAGCTGTGGCCCCACTCCAGGTTGCAGCCTATGCTGCTTCAGTCCAGCCCTGATCCTCTAGAGCAGGGGTCTCCGAACTGCGGCCCTTTGATAGCCTTTATCTGGCCCTTGGGGCACTATTCCTCCCAACGATATGAGGCACTTTTCCTCCCACTGACACCAACAATGGGGCACTCTCACTTCCACTGATACCAGTGATGAGGTACTATTCTTCCTACTAATACCAATATTGGGGCACTACTCCTCCTCTTACTGACTATCAACCCTGGGACCATGTGTATTCTCACTGATACTATTTTCTACCCCCACTGGCCACAATCTGTCCCCCTCTAAAGTCTGAAGGACAGTAAACTTGCCTTTTGTTTGAAAGGTTTGGAGACTAGAGCAATCTTTTTTAACCAGGGTTCCATGTAACCCTAGGGTTCCTCCAGAGGTATCTAAGGGTTTCTTGTCTCTTATAACCCAAAATGCCCACAAAAATTAAGCTGCTTAATTTAAAATGCTTAAAAATTAGGCTGCCTTTCAAGAACCCAAATTGGATTTCTCCATTCTGGATATAACGAGGCAAGTTTTGTTCTCCCGTTGGGTCTTCATACTGTCTGAATTCTTGCTGCTGATAGGGCGATATAGGCATTACCTCCATACTAGGCCCAAGCCCTATTAGGTCAGCATGGGGGCTCAAGAAAGGCAGGGGATACATTTGGGTGGTCCCAGCGCAGAATCAATGGTTCAGTTTGGGGCCCAAGGTTGCCAACCATGTCATAGCCACCAGGTGGGACCATGGAGCTTGGAGCTTTTTGATCAGATTGGGCTGCCAGGCATGGGCACTAAGTTACTGCAATGACTGCTGCACAGAAACTGCACACTGCCAGATGGGGAGAGCCAGGGGAGGGGAACCGAGAACCACGTCACTGTCCAGTGGAATTATTGGGCAGGGGGCCTGTCATGTAGGCTGTACAGGGCCCTGAAGGTTTCTAAAGGCAGCCCCACCCATGCTCCAAGGGTGGCATTCAAAGTGTTAGCTGGAGTTCCACCATAACAAAGATGATATTTTAATTGCTTCTGCTGTCAACCTTCATAAATACTCCTAGGTGATACAAGAGCAGCAAGCCCACAAATAGGTGTTATTTTGCTTTTGTAACAAATTTGCCATTAAACAAATGCTGCCGAGTCAGACGAATTTATAAGCAGTTCAACGTTCTGCTACTAATTAGTCAACTTCAGCCATGAAGGGTATGATGAATACTTTTAATTTAATTTAAGGCTTGAATGTGTTCAAAGCAATTAACGCTATCTTCCGTCTTTTTAGGAAAAGATCAACATGATTTCGGAGCAGCAAAGTTCTGGGTCATCTTAAAATAGAGAAGACGGCACCGCGGCTCACCAAATTCATTGCCGAAAGATTCCGGTGAGGTTGCGTTCCGTCATCCCGCCTACAGAGCTGGCAAGAGCTTCTTTCACAGTCTCTGCACATCTTCCAATTTTAAATTCCACAGATGATCTGTGACGTCATCACGCATGCTGGAAGTTCAGCGGCGCCATGCTGTGATGATACGCTTGTTAATGTCTCTCAATGTGAGTAAACCTGCACAAGTAATGCTGCATAATCAGTGATACTGGGCCATGGAGTGTTTTATTTGTTTTTTTTTTCTGAGCATTGCTGACCTTATGATCCTGTGGGCAGTCCATTGGAACTTTCCAAAGAGTGGTTGGAGCCATTTGAGAGAGCGCTCCTACGCTGCTATTACCTTTGATTTTCTTATGCCAGTGTGACCTCCTAGTGGTCCAAGTAATCCAGTAAGGAGCGCACAATAAGGGCACCTCACAAGATTTTTTGAGTTGAATCTCCTTATTGCATCAATTTCTGGAATTCTTTATGAATTTGGGGACTTTTATGAATTTGGGGAGCTACAGCGCCTTGACGTCACGCCGCCGCTGGCGGCCATCTTGGACACACATGGTCAGTCTGTTTTATTTTCTCTGTTCTTGCACCCTGTTTTCGGGAATACAAATCCTCTGTACAGTATTACGCTATGTGGCATCCTTTTTTGGGCTCTCTGTGAGTCTAAACATTCACAGAGCCTATCATAGAGGAAACCTGACGTTTTGCTGATACTCACTGGAGGACCCTGAAGGGAAAGGGAACCTGGCTATAATTATAGTGGATGATCTGGCTGACCTGATGAGACAGTAATATCTCAAATGCATGTTTAAATCACGCATCTGGTGAGTGCGCAATTTACCTATTATCGGTCACACCATCTACCACCATCTACCACTTTGGATTAATATAAAAGAGGAATACCTATTTGAGATCCTTCCTGATCCCCACGTTCAATCTATTGGACTTTCACTTATCACTGGAACCACCATATGTGGTCTATGTTATGCACTTTATATTTATTTATTTATTTGCATCTGTGTAAACACTATGTCGCTATTGGGGATTTATTGCACTGTCAGCACTATTATAGGATTAGGAGCTGAATGATTTTTCCTCATCTATTTGATCTTTTTTGAGCATTTTATATATTCATTGGTTTGTTACTAGCGCTGCACCCCATTTTAAGATTATCTCTTTTCAGGAGGTTTTATGGTTACCTTTTGGTGTTTCAGCAGCTTTGTGTTTTTGTTTGTAGCGCTCACTTATTCCTTTTATATACACTTTTATATTTATTTATTCACTTTGGTTTTTACATATATTCTACTTGGACATGTTGCACTTGGTTTCCTTTAATGCTTGTTGCACTATTTTTGCACCTATGATATATGAATTTGCAGATTGTTACATCATTGGCTGAAATTTTCTTACGGTTTAATGAATTTGTGCTATAATGTTGGTTTATGCATTTAGTTATTTATTCACCTTTTATAACGAATTATCAATTTTGCACATTATTTATTTAAAGAGACAGCGCACCTAGTTTAAATGTATTTTTGTATATTTTGTGTATTCTGATATTATAAGCTGCTGGAGTTTTCTTTTTATGTGACATTGAGAGCAAGTGGTAAATGTGCTGTTTTTTTTGTTTTGTTTTATATCTTCCATATATTCTAAAATGTAATCATACAAATGTATAGTCTGGCCCAAATGTTTCACAATTGCTGACCACAAATAGTATATGATTAGAGATGAGCGAATTATTCAAAAATTCGATTCGGCTGATTCGCCGAATTTGAGGAAGAAATTCGATTCGATGCGAATTTATTCGCTACGAATTTAACTTATAAAAAGGGTTTCTAGGCTTCAGAGAGCCTTTAAATTAGTGCAGAACACTGTACCTTTAATTTAAATGCCCTTGGAGATGAGGAAGGAGAAGAAGGAGAAGGATGAGAAGAAGGAGAAGGATGAGAAGAAGGAGAGGGATGAGAAGAAGGAGAAGGATGAGAAGAAGGAGAAGGATGAGAAGAAGGAGAAGGAGAAGGAGAAGGATGAGAAGAAAGAGAAGGATGAGAAGAAGGAGAAGGAGAAGGATGAGAAGAAGGAGAAGGAGAAGGATGAGAAGAAGGAGAAGGATGAGAAGAAGGAGAAGGATGAGAAGAAGGAGAAGGAGAAGGATGAGAAGAAGGAGAAGGATGAGAAGAAGGAGAAGGATGAGAAGAAGGATGAGAAGAAGGAGAAGGATGAGAAGAAGGATGAGAAGAGAAGAAGGAGAAGGAGAGAAGAAGAAGGATGAGAAGAAGAAGGATGAGAAGAAGGAGAAGGGTGAGAAGAAGAAGAAGGATGAGAAGAAGAAGAAGGATGAGAAGAAGAAGAAGGATGAGAAGAAGGAGAAGGATGAGAAGAAGAAGAAGGATGAGGAAGGAGAAGGATGAGAAGAAGGAGAAGG